GTATATCTAGGGATTTCGGGTTGTATTAATACATATGTATTTATTCTTGAATTTTTATATTTCTCCCATATTGTTTCCCAATCAGTTCTCGTTTGTTTTTTTGCAAATGAATATATTCATCTATGGGAAGAAGGTGGTCCAAGATTTCTCCAGAAGTAATGCTTTCCCTAGCCAATCTATCAACCCTCTCATTGAGCTTAATTCCGACATGGGCTTTTACCCATACCAACTTTATTTTGTAGTTTTTGGCATTTAGTTTATGGAGGAACTGCTTTATTTTCAAGATGTATGGGTTAATATAAGGGTTATTTATGTCGACTGGCTTAGCTATACTTGTCAAGACTGACAGACTGTCTGATATTATAATCCCTTTGATAATTACCTTGGAATCTAAGTATTCCAAGGCTTTGAGAATAGCAATGGCTTCAGCTGTGAATATAGATGTCAGACTGTTCAATTTGAGTTTTGATGAATGTCCACTGGGTTGTGCAATAAAGGCACAACCTGTTCCTTTGCTGTCCTTAGAAGCGTCAGTATATATTTTAACGTATTCTGGATAAGGATTCAACAGTTCTCTAAGACAGTTTTCTTTGGTAGAGGGGATGTAGTTTGGTAAAATTAAGTTGTGTTTCTCGAGGGAAATGAAAAATTCTTGAGAATTCCGGGATGATTGGTAATTAGATAAATTATCTATCTCTATGAGAGTTTAACGTGCTTATTTTTTTTATTATATGGTCTTGCTTTACTTCTGACTTGATAAGTTGTTTTTTTGACAATAATTGTCTCCTTAGCTGAAGAGGTGGTTCAAGGCATTCTACTCTGAGGGGTTCAATTGGAGTTGACCTCATTGCGCCCAAACAAAGTCTCAATGCACTGTTTTGTAGTGTATCCAATTTTTGTAAGGCTTTATGACTAGCAGAACCATACAAAGTGCATCCATAATCGATGATCGATCTGATGTATGAGCGATAGAATGTTAACGCTGTTATCAGGATCTGCTCCCCACCACGTACGTCGAATCATCTTCAGGAAATTAATACCTTTTTGACACTTCGTAACTATTTTGTCAATGAAAGGGTACCATGTTAGTTTATGGTCAAGAACATCTCCAAGGTACTCCACTGTTTCTGTTACTGGAAATCGAGAGCCCCTGATTTCTATATCACCTGTTGGAGGAATGTTGTGCCGTGAGAAGAATACTATGGATGATTTGTGTGGTGATAGGCTGAATCCCAATGTGTTCATTTGACTTGTTATCGAAGTTATAGCGCTTAATAGGGATTCTTTGCATGATTGGAATCCTTTTTTATCTAGGTAAACGACAAAGTCATCAGCATACTGTACGAGATTGTATGTTGGGTTAACTACGTGGATATCTCTAGTATATATGTTAAACAGGACTGGTGATAAAACTGATCCCTGAGGAAGGCCTTCTGATACTTCTCTAGGGCCAGAAGTGAGTTGGTTTTGGATCTGAGAAATATTGTTCTGTTTAGAAAGAGCTTTATGATAGTCCGACAAGTATTACTTGGAACCAGAATATCTTCTAACTTGTCTTTTAGCATGAACAGGTCGACGCAGTCATATGCTCCTTTGACGTCTAAAAATGCAGCTCCCAGGTATTCATTCCTTGAGAAGCAGTTTTGGATATCTGTAACTACATTCCCTACAGCATCTAAGGTACCATATCCTTTTTTGAAACCAAATTGTGACTTCGGGAATAAATTTCTTGCGTAGAGAAACCATTCTAGTCTGTGCTTTATGATTCTTTCGAGAGTCTTAAGGATGCACGATAATAAGGATATTGGTCTGTATGATTCATATAAATTTGGATCTTTGCCCAGTTTGAGCACGGCCACAACAATTATTTTTCGCCAGTCTTCAATGTCTCCGTTTTCTAACCATACCTCATTGTAGTAAGTCCAGAAAGACCGTAGTTCTAGTAATAGCTGCTTTGCATTCAAAGGTAAGTGCCATAACATTGAGTATTTTATGTTGTACCAGCCAGGGGACGAATTGTTTGAGTTCTTTAGCGCATATTCAAGTTCCGTGACAGTAATGGGATGACTGAAGATATTGTCAGTCAGGGTTTCAGGATTTTGACTACGGTGAATCTCTGGAAAGAATGATGTGGTCGAAGGAGGAGCGATTTTGTCTAGGAAATTTGCTTCCCAATCCAAGTTATTGCATTTCCTATGAGTGACTATTGCTCTCTTACAAGCAATGAAGTTGGCTTCGCTGGATATCTGCTTGTACTGTGCAAGGGCATTTTTTCGTTTATTAATTTCTTCATCGCATTCTCGATCCCACCAAGGAGCAGGTGTCTTATTTTGTCTTGTGAAGGGTTTATATCGAGGGATTGAGCTACGTGCGGACTCATTAATGCCTTGAATAAAAAACTGATATTTGTCATTTATATCCTGGAAATTCGGATGAGAGTTTGAGAAATAATTGTCTGCAAGTGAATGGAAATGATCCCAATTGGCTTTGTGGGTATTCCATGTGTATTTTGGAGTTACTTCATAAGCGGAATGTGATGTAGGGGATTTCATCTCTAGGAGGATAGGGTAATGATCTGATCCAAGGGTATCAACATGGGTTTTCCATTCAATAATGTTAGCTAGGTTCGGGGAAGAAAAAGTTAAATCTATAACTGAATTTAGACCATTGTTATGTAATCTAGTAGATGACCCATCATTAATCAATACCAAGTCTATAGAGTTTAGTGCTTCCACAAGAGAGCACCCATTATGGTCCTGCTTGTAGGAGCCCCACAAACTATGGTGGGCATTGAAATCGCCCCCTACAATTGTATCCTGACCGAAGGGAGATAGCAAATCAATCCATTCATTCGTGCGGATATGTGCACTAGGAGGGACATACATAGATAGAAGAGACAGGCGAAGCGAATCTGCAACTTGCACCTCTGCACCGCATACTTGCACGTAATTGGGGCGAGGTCTACATGTTATTTCTTTAAATTTCAGAGTGTTTCGGACAAATATCGCAACTCTGGTCTTTCCGTCATGCCTGTCACTCCTGATAATAGAGTATCCTTTGAATATCAGATTAAAACCTGGTTTAAACCAGGTTTCAGAAACCAGAGCAATATCTATGTTGTTATTGAACAAAAATTGATCAAGGCTGTGTTTGTTTGCTACTGCAGATCTAGCATTCCACTGTATGATTTTCAATTTAGTATTCATCTTGGTCACTGGGCTCTTCATTTGGAGGATAGCTATCTTTATAGATATTCTTCACATAAGTAATATCAATATTAGCCAATTCCTCAAATGATTTTACTTTACTTAGTATAAGTTGTAATGTTTTGAATAGGGTCCCCAGAAATCTCTCATCAGGGATTTCTGTTGCGTCTGTTTCTCTAAGGGGTAGGGGGTTACTGGGGCCAAACGAAAAAGGGAACATGGGCGGAATGTGGGAATCATTAATAGGGGATACAACTTTTCGTTTTTTGATTGGCTTTTCTTGCTGAGATAGGGGTCTAGTTATTCGCTGAGTGACTGTATGCACAGAATTTGTTGATTGCGAACGTGAGGCGTTTGCTGATCGGCTGTGTGAGTGTTCTTTTGGAGGGAGAGGAGGAAATTTTGTATTGGGCATTTGGCCTAAAACTTCAAAACGATTTTTTGAATTTAATATGGAGGAATATGTATTACCGAGTTTTTTTTTTAGCCTCCAGGAACGTCAGATTTTGTTCGGCCATGATTTTCTTAATTTTTTCCTGTTCCATATAAGATGGACAATTTTTAGATGTTGACCTGTGATCGCTGTTCTTGCAATAAACACAACAGCTATCCTGGGGATCCCTGCAATTGTGCTCCGAATCCTTTATTTTGCCGCAACTAATGCATAGGACCGATGAACTCCTGCATTGTTTTGCAACATGCCCATATCTCAAACACTTGTAACATTGGACCACTCTGTATATAAACGGCTCTACTTCGCAAAGGACACTGTTTAAAGAAATGTAGGAGGGTAAAATGTTGCCTTCAAAGGTCACTATAATAGATTGCTTGGGAACATAGGCGGCCTTCCCATCAATTTCTACGTTACGTTTTAATCTTTTTACCTCAATGATAGTTACAGGAGACAAAAAGTTTTCAAATAGATATTTTTCGTCAAAACTAGTATCAACATTCTTTATCACTGCTTTCCTAAGTAGTAAATTACTGGGGATAAATGCTCTTAAATTTTCATTTTTTAGTGACTGGTTAGTAACTAGACGATTCGCGTCCTTCAAACTTTTTACCTGAACCTTGATTCTATTTCTACCTACTTTTTCGATGTTGACAATGTTTGGAATGTTGAGTTTTTTATGAAATATATGACCTATGGCCATTGGGTGTAGCGTACCAATATTTTCAGTATTTATTTTCTCAACAAATACATAAATAGAATCTGAATATTGCTTAGGTTTTTGCAAATTAAAAACAATGCACTTATCTGGCGTAGTACCGGTTGCGATGCTTGTATTCAGACTAACTCCTTGACGGCTGTCTACTCCATTGTTGCTGCCTCCTCCTATGGAGGAGATGTCCATATCAGTTAATCCCCCATCAGGGGGATCATTATCCGTGGGCATTACACACTAAACTGTATAATAGTTATTATCTTCAGTTGTACAAACGGTTGAGGAAAAAAGGAAGGAATTTTTCCTATCTATTGGTAATTCGCCGTGTTGTTTTCCGCGCGCGATCGCGTTCAACGTCAGGACTGAACTGATTTTTGCTGTTAATCATTGTTTTTTGCATAAACATTTCCTAGTGGTGATATTTCATCAAACATCTCTGGAATAATTATATTTGTCTTGCGGATATTTGTAAATATTTTTGATTTCTTAGATCTTGTGAATTTCTGTGATACTGGTTATTGAAGTTTTGGTACATCCTGAGATTTTTATGCCTTTTTATCATTCCGATAGTGAATCAGATTGTTCTGACTCTGACAGGCACCGAAACCGTTCACGTAAATTAACAATCATGACTTCAGAAATTACAAGTCTAGAGTTGTCTCTTGCGAAAGATATTGTTCCTGATTATTTTGGTGGTAGTAAAGATCTTTTGGATTTTGTCACAAAGACAGACCAATTTATAGAATTGCTGAGAAAGCCGGGTCCAAATTGTGTGTTCAATAAATTGCTTTTTCATAATATTATCGCAAAAATCAAAGGCGATGCTAGAGATTTATTGAATAACAGTTCCTGGGTTACTTGGAAGGATGTCAAAGAGATTCTTGTTAATAGATTCGGTGATAAAAGAAATGAATCTTGTTTAGCTTACGAACTTTCTCGCATGCATCAGAATAACAAAGAATCTTATCAACAGTATTACGATCGAATAAACGAACAATTGCAAAAAATGTTGCAACAGGTAAAATTAACTTCGCCTCCTGAACTATTTCAGATAAAATCAGAAATGTACTGTGATCAGGCTTTAAAACGCTTCATTTTTGGATTGAAGGATCAGTATGGTAATATTTTTGCGCACTCAGTTTGCCAGACGCTTTGCGTAAAATTCAAGAGATGGAAAACTTTTGGTATGAGCGTTCTTTGACCAATTTCATGAGAGATAAAGACGAACCCCAACGCAAAAATGGTCAGTTTACCAAACCAGTACCAAATCAGAGGGGAAATAATTTCAATAATAGCTTCCAAAATCAGTTTAGGCCACAATTCCAATTGTCACCACCCAGAGTTGGTCCACCCAGACCAAACAATTTAACTCCTCGGCCGCAACTAAGTCAGCCACAGTTAATGCCAAATCGTTTTCCAAATTCAAATCAACAAATTTCTAGGAATACCCAACCTAATAAGCCAACACCTATGTCCATCGATGGTAGTAATTATCGCCCAAATAATTCTATAAGACAGCCGTATCGCCCCAACTTTTTTCAACAAACAAGCCGTCCAAATGTGATTGTGGAAGAGCTCCATAATCAGGAGACTGAAGGCTCTGAATTTCCTGATCAATACGATAACTATTTTTCTGAAGCTCGGTACGTTGATCAGCAAGACTTTGATTACTTGGAAAGTGAGGTATCTACTTTTGAAAATGATAGTGCCCAGGTTGGAAATTTTCCAATACCAGCCTCGGAACCGAATCAGTCGACTTAAATAACATTTACAAGCTTTCGAAGCTCCCCTATATAGTTCTCCCGAAGTTAGGCCTTAAAATATTAGTGGACACGGGAGCTACTTCAAACATTATGAACTCCGAAAATCGCTAAATAAGATTTCTCATGGTTCAAAAAATGTTCAATACCCAATCCTGAATGAATTTGGCATCAATAAAGTCCTAAGTTTCAAGGTAGATGATTGGCACGACAAGTTTGATATGTTGCTAGGGACAGATGATCTTCAGAAATTAGGTGCAAAAATTGACTATACCAATCAGACTGTTCAGTTAAAAAATCGATGTATTCCATTGGTTATCGAAAGGACTACACCAATCAAACCGACTCGCCTTGAATATGTCAATAATATTACTATACCAGTCAACAGTGAGAATGGTCCCGTCGTTGTTCCGGAATTTGAAATGAATGGAATCATATTTCCTGATTGCATAGCTACGGCTCGCGATTTCCACGTCAACATACCTATTCCTGTAGAACACTCTACCCTGGAAGAGATATGTTGCATAGAGCCCATGGATGTAGATCCTTTGCTTGAATACAACATTAAAAAATCTGATATCCAAGAAAATGATTTCAATATAACTCAATTAATACGTAACGATCATCTTTCACCGGATGAAAAGCAAAAGATCCTCGAACTTTGCCAAAAATATAAAACAATATTTCACTTCGAGGGTACAGACTTGACCTGTACTCATCACGTTAAGCACAAGATTCGAACAACCGATGACATACCGATTTATCAGAAACCGTTCAGGTACCCCCCTGTTCTCCAGGAAGAAATTAATTTGCAAGTACAAAAATTAATCGATAACAAAATTGTAAGGCCAAGTATTAGTCCTTACTCCTCTCAGGTATGGATCGTGCCGAAGCGCTTGGACGCATCCGGTCAGCGTAAATTTCGACTTGTCATCGATTATAGGAAATTAAATTTTAAAACCATAGAGGACAAATACCCATTGCCCAGAATTGAGGAAATTCTGGACAACCTTGGCAAATGCTCATTTTTTTCGACAATCGACCTCTCTCAAGGATTTCATCAAATTGCGATGGATCCTGAGTCTATTGAGAAAACAGCCTTTACGGTAAATAATCAGCACCTCGAATATGTCCGGATGCCTTTTGGCTTGCGAAATGCTCCGGCGACATTTCAGCGCTTAATGGATGACGTTCTTCGTGACCAGTTGTATAAAAGTTGTATTGTCTACATGGACGATATTTTGGTATATTCCAAATCATTAGAACAGCACATTCAACACTTAGAATTCGTATTTAAAAAATTGAAAACCTATAATCTAAAGGTACAGCTAGATAAAACGGAATTTCTCCGCAAAGAGGTACCGTTCCTAGGTCACGTTATCACCGAACAAGGAATAAAACCCAATCCAGACAAAATAAAAGCAATCGTGGAATTTCCTATTCCAAAGACCACAAAACAAATTAAAGGTTTCTTAGGTCTCACCGGATTCTATCGAAAATTTATCAAAGATTATTCTCGCATCGCGCAACCAATGACTAGAATGTTGAAGAAGGGTGCCATATTAGACACCACGAATAGGGAATATATTCAGGCATTTGAAAAATTAAAAGACTTAGTCACAAATTCGCCAGTTTTAATTTACCCTGATTTTTCGCAACCTTTCAAACTAACAACCGATAGTAGTAGCGTAGCTATTGGTTCTGTCCTTTCCCAGAAGGACCGCCCCGTGGCATTTTATTCTCGTACGTTAAATAATGCCGAAAGGAACTATAGTGCAACGGAGAGGGAATTGCTTGCAATCGTAGATTCTGTAAAACATTTTCGCCCTTATCTGTATGGAAAAAAAATTGTAATTGAAACAGATTGCAAACCGCTGACTTGGCTATTTAATCTGAAAGACCCGGTATCCAGGCTAGCACGCTGGAAGGTCCACCTCGAAGAACATGACTATGATATACTATATAAAAGGGTAAAGAAAATTGCGTCGCTGATGCTTTATCAAGGGCAGAACTTAACGCCGTGGATGACCAATTACCCTGTACATCTAAAGAAAATTCTGAATACCTTCAGATTCCTTTAGTAAGAGCATGTCTTGATAATAAGCGTAAAACTAACCAAACTTCTATACAAGGGGAAGTAGAACACTCTGATCAGTCATCTCCATACAATCCTTCTAGATCGGGAACGATGAACAATAATAATTACGAACACCCTATTAATGTACTTCCTTTTTCAGAAAACCCACTGAATTATTTTAAATGTCAATTTGAGTTCAAAATTTTGGATAATTATAAAGTTACCAGAAAGGAGATTTTCAAAAATAAATATAGATTATATGTGACGCTTTCGCCCGATAGTTTATATTCTCAGATATCACTAACACTTATCGAGTATGTCGATCCAAAAAATACATATGGTATCTTCTGTCATAATGAACCATTGAAACCGATTATCACACAATTGGTACGCTCCCTGTTTGACCCCGAGGTTCATCTAATTTTTACAAATAAACTACTTTTAGATATCACCGACGAAGGGAAACAAACAAGATTAGTCCAAGAATATCACTCAAAAAATCATAACGGAATTCAAGAAACACTAAAGACGTTTCAACTAAGGTACTATTGGCCCAACATGAAAAATTCTATAAACGCATTAATCAATTCCTGCGAGACCTGCAATTTAGCTAAATACGATAGAAATCCTTACAAACCGCCGTATGAAGGGCCGCTAATTGCAAAATATCCGTTCGAAATTATTCACGTTGATACTTTCAAAATTGATAGCAACAAGTTTTTCACTATTTTGGATTTATTTTCTAAATATGGGCAGACTTATCATATTACTGATGAGAATTCAATAACTTTGCTTGAAAAACCACGTAATTTTATCAGCCATCATGGAATTCCTGTAAAAATAACATGTGATAACGGATCCGGATTCACAGCCAGAACTTTCAAAGAATTCTGCGAGTTACATAAAATCAAAATACATTTTACCACTCCTGAGAATCCTTCATCTAATTCTCCCGTTGAGAGATTCCACAGTACCCTTAACGAAAAATTAAGTGCTTTAAGGCTACAAAACCCGAAAACAGATATAAAGGAGCTCAAGGTGATCGCGATTTTGAATTATAATCAAAGTGTCCATAGTTCAACGAATTTTTCTCCCCACTCACTTATCTATACTCCTTTCAACAGAACAAATGTAACAAATATCGAATTAAGTAAGGACGTATATGAACAATACAACCAAAAGCGTGTTGACGAGCTCAAACTATTATACCAGTCGGTAAGCGATAAATGTAAGGAAAAAGCTGAAAAGGTTCTCCGAAAGAGAAACGAAAATCGCACTGAACGACCGGAAATTCCAAAAGAGACTACGGTTTTTGTCAAGTCCAGACAAAGGACTACGAAAATCAACCCCAGACAGGTGAAATCCAAAGTTAGAAATCAGAAAGGCAATACCTTGCGGTTACGGACTCTAAGCAAAAGACCAGTTCGCACTAGAAGGAATTTGCGTCAGATTAAAAGAGTAAAAAAGGGTTTTTCTTCACAGGGCGACCCTATGGCCGCAGAGTCTTCCGCTGAGGCTTCATCAAGTCCCAACCAATAAGGGTTTCTACCCGGAGCCGTTGGGGGAAGCAAAATTAATAAGCCATTATCATACGTTTATTTTTAGCCATAATCTCAGCTTAATAGCTGATGTTATTAGACAGATAGAAGTTAGTTATAGTATTGTAGTAAACCGTTCTAATGATATCAACCTCAAACCGGTACTAGAGGACCTATACAAAAATATTAATAATGTAAAAATGGAATATTTAAAATTATCACCTTATCATTCACACAGCAGAAGGCGTCGAGCAATTATTAACGGATTTGGCAGCATAATTAGGTATGTGACAGGAAATTTAGATCAAGGTGACCTTATAGAAATCAATGATAAATTTCAATCATTAAAGGACAAGGAAAACGAAGTTATAATAGCCATCAATAATCAAAAATCATTCGCTCAGCTCATTTCACAAAAATTTGTGAACGATATGAAAGTAATTCAAAACAATGTACAATTGCTATCAGAAACTGTCAAGAAATCAATTTATGATTACGAATATGAAAGTTCGATTTTTAGACTATTTATTCCTGTACGAGAAATTATAGATTATCTCAGACTGATCCAAGGCACAATATCCTTATCACAGAAACAGATGACAAATGTAGCTAGTTTTAGTCTTAAGGAACTGACCCATATTGAAAATTACCTAAGGTCTATTTATTCGAAGAAAAATTTGGTTTTGTTAGATGAAACTCACCCTTTCGAAGTTCTTAGCCTGAGCAGAACTGGTGTTATTTATACCGATGATATCCTTCTATGTGCAGTTGAAATACCAATTCTAGATGCCACTAAGTATCAATTATCAAAGTTATATACTTTATTGACCAGTAACACAATGTTAGTACTTTTTCAACATGAATATTTTCTGCACAATGAGGTATCGATTAAAAGTTGTCCTAATCAATGTAAACAATTCATGAATCGATTTATTTGTGAATCTGCAACCAATCAAAAATGCACGCCACGATCAGTTGAGCATTGCAATATTGTAAAGGCCAGGAATTCTTTAAGTTTATCATATTTGCTTGAGAATACTTCAGCAGTATTATTTTCGAGTAACATCAAGGTCATCGCTTTCGAAAAATGTGATGGCGAAATCAAACATTTTACTTTAACTGGTAACTATATTGTTAGGAGTAACAGCACACTGGTTATAAACGATATGTCATATGTCCTTCGTGACACTATTATCCCAGTAGAGGCCTTAGATTTTAATATTCCCAATCTTACATTGGGGCCAACGCACACGATAGATAGTTTCCACATTAATAGCAATGATTTTTCAGATATTAAGGAAAATTTGCACAAGATGAAAGAAATTATACCAGTTGAGTTTAAAAATTACCATTCTCATGTATATAGCACTCTTATAATAGGTGTAT